CATGTTATCTTATTATGACGTTTTTACGATTTAATATCTTATATTCATGTATGGCGGAAGAGCCCCCAGGGGGTAGCTATGCAATAAAGTATGTATGTATGTATGTAACGGCACATACGTCAGCTTAACTATCAAAAAAACAAAGTTTGGGTTGTTAACTTGCTTGCTGCCAGTTTTGGTGACCAAGAGATCAAGGGTTTTAGAGAAAATGGTGAAAGAAACAAAGGTATCAAAAACTGTGTTCAGCAACCTTAAAATGAATCCGAGTAATTAGAGTTTGAATCCGGAGGCAAATTGTGGGCAGGTCAAGCGCAGGATTCAGCCGGGGCAAGATAGTTGCCACTTTATCAGTCCAACATTGAAGCAGTAGATGTGGCACAAGATCTAGAAGTGCCCACTCAAAGCAAAGGGAAAGGAAAAGCTAAATTGAATAACATTACAGTGAAATATGGTATCGGTGTTGTTTTTGGCTGTTAACCGAATTTGACAGATTTAACAGCTTCGACATTTTCAGTGCGGATGCAACAGAGGAGTCAAAATTTGTCAAGACAAAATTTGTCCTTTGATCTGATTTTGTCGGGATAGTTCTAGTTTTCTCTGCTAGTGCGGATAGGCCCTTAGGTAAGAAAAACAATTTTTTAGCAGACCGCTAGTAACGCTCTTAAAACGATTTATGGCAGAAATTTGCTCTTAAAGCTTTTTTGCGAATGTCTAATTCTGTGTGATCGGTTAAAACTTTGCAAAGGGACCAGACTTAATTTATCACTCGGCGTCAGGGGACAGAGGATTTTGGAGGGAATCACACTATGCTACTACAAGAGGAATTAGGATAACTTTTTCTGTAATGTGCAGAAACTCTACGCCATTATCTTTATTCGTTGGCCAATAACAGACGCCACCTTAGTCACCTTTGATGATATGGTAGCAGCTCTGTAACCGCTTTTTAATCCCTACTTAACAGATTTTTCATCAAGTTTTGAATTAAAAATCAGTTTTGCGACTTAGCCTTTTATTTTATCTCATCGTCAACACCTTATTCATGAGATACAAAGAATGAAATCGCAGTATTATTTGCTCTTTAAGTTGCTGTGTGTTCGATCAAAGCCTCTTCCTTCTGGTAGTAATTGACTTGTAAATTCTCAGTAAAATTCTACTACATTATCAAACAAAAGGTGGAGAGAGCAAAAATGCTTATGAACTTAACTTGAGATTGTTATTTTGATCAAAAACTAAAGTCTTCAAAGTGATTTCTGTGAAAATGTAAAGTTGCTTCAAAGGAGAATTACTTGACGGTTCTTAATGTCAAACCGCTAAGGCGGTGTAGGCGTATTCATTTTACAGACATCTCTTAATAACAAATCTTCATCAGTTTGACTGTTTAGAATTTTAAATCTTCAACCATGAAGCTCAAGCAATTTTCTGTGCAGACTGTTTTATTTTCTACGAAAAAGGGAAAAGAAGGCTGTAGATTAGTTGGTTACCTGCTTGAATTTGAAAAAAAAAAAAAAAGGAAAAAAAAAAGAAAAATTATATGCGCGCGAGTCTTATTCGTATTCTTACCGCATCACTGAGGAAACCAAAAGTAAGAAACTGAAATAAAACCGTCTCTGCAATGCAAGGATGAAATAAATATATCTTATTAGACGTTTTGTTGTGTAGCTGTTATTCTTCGTTCGCTTCATATAATAAACTTGGATCTATATTGGCCTGCCATTCCGACTCTTCGTCGTCAGAAATATGGTTCAAATTTCCGCCATTTGTTTTTCGTAACCTTCTATCCAATTCTTCGCTTGCGCGATATGAGAAAACCTGTCTAACCGGTTCTCTGGAGTACAAATACCGCGTGATATTTGTACTCTACGGAGTGTAGTTGAATAATAAAAGCACTAAATAGATCAGTGATTATGAGGTTAGAATCATTATAAAAAAAGGTTAAAGGGGACAACCTCGAAGTACGAAACCTACCTCGGGTTTGGAGTTTGTTAGAAGTTCATAATAACGATCTTTCTTAAGATAAATTGCATTGGGGTTCAGTCGAACAGGGAGGAAGAGAATCGTGCTAAATTAGCTAGGCTAAGATGTTTACCATAGCAACGAATTAATGTGCTAAAACCAAAACACCAAAACCAAACACTAAATCCAAACACAAGAAACTGAAATAGAACTTCCGTCACAAAAAATATTCAAATTGCTGGTGTAAGGTAAAAAAAAAAAATCTACCTTCATTCGGAAAAGAAAAAGGCTCGCACATACAGCACAAACAAAGTTTCGACTCCAATTAGATCACAAATCTCACGACACCTTTATTATAATTTATCGTAAGCTGGTCGGTCTTAACGATATTCTTTTAACTGAAAAGTCGTACAGTGTCAATCGCCCTTAAATATTTCGGTCACAAGAACAGCTCCTATTTTCTTGTCGAGATATAAAAATGATTATGAATATGTAGATGTGATGTATTTCCAATCAGCCACACTTTCCAAGTTATCAAAGGTCGTACTTACCACAAAATTATCGACTTTTAACGCCTTGCCTCAAACTCCTTGAACGCATTGAACACCTTTCCTCGAACGCTTTGGATGTTTTGCTGCCATTTAAAATGAAATAGCCACTTTTGGATCCTCACCAAATTTTATTGAAATAAATGATCAACAGATGATTGGGTTTTCTTACAAAGGGTGGATCTAGGATCGGACCCAGCTTGGAAGAAATGTTGCCGCAAACAAGAAAGCTTACAAGCGAAAGTGAATCGAGCCCAAAATAAAAACGCCACCATTTTGTCTGCTGGCACGAGCTTCGCCTGTCGAGGTAAGGAAGCCTCTAAATAATCCACGTTGAATATAGATTTTTTTAGACTTTTTTCTTTTAGATTTCTGGATCGTCGAACATATACATATAACAGTTTGTTATTGTCCTCATATTTTTTATTTTCCATTCAATTCGACACTTCGTAAAGATAATCTATTGTACACAAGACTTCATAAAGATAATATATTGTACACAAGACTTTGTAAATTTATCAAAACTCGATGGACTTTCCGATGAACCTGCGTAACACTCAGGTGGTAAAATCAACGAATAGTACCACGCTTATTTACAAAAGGGAAATAATGACGCGTCAAATGACATCACACCATGCCAGGTTTAGCATACATGGGTAGGTGATTGGACTTGTAACTGAGGAATCCCAGCAACCTTTGTTCGATTGCCTTTTTCGCAGTTGAGGCCACGTACGAGTCTGAGAGAACGCGACGCTGATCCTTGGTCAACTGAAAATAAAAAGTGAAAAAAATTACGCTGTTTTTAATGCTACTTAACTCTTGATTTGCATAGCTGGCTGTTCTGTGGAAGTTTCTTAGGCAGCAGGGGAAGTCTCCGTGCAAATGAAAGTCTAGTGTGTGCGATTTACTTGAAGTTTCACAGCATTTATTGGTATTGTTAAGTATAACGTACGAGATGGTTTCAGCGTTCTTACGATTTAAATCGCCTAATGTGTGAGAAATCGTCGAAAGAGAACTGCTAGGCTCCAACTTCGTGTTTATTTTGCTGTGTGAGGTGGTTCTTACTGAAAAGTTTGTGGCCAAGCCCTCATTATGAGCCCTTTGACATTACTTCACAAGCGGGGATGTATGGGGCCTTAAGCAACGTGATTTGTGCCTGCCCCTGGCAAACCTCTCCTCAACTCGTCTCAAATCTTTCCGTGAGGGTATCAACATGAGGGCCTGCTCGCAAGGCCCTTTAAGTGTGTAACAATTCATAATAAATCCGCTGAGCGGTACTTTATCGAGGTACTCATCATTGTGTTTGTTAGAGTAATCTTACCCGAAATGCCCTTCGACGAAATCCTCGAGCCTAAGCATTCAAGCACCAGTCGTGGGGTACTACTTTTAAAGGACGTTTTTCAGTTTCAATTCATAAATGAAAACCTGTTTTGTAACCATTTATATCAAAGCTATCGAGACCAGTTTTGTCGACTTGTGCATGTACAGCAAACACTGCTTGAACGTCATAGCAACTTACCGCTACGTCTTCGTCGATCATCTTTCGTACTTTTTCCTCCAATGACGGTACATCAGCAGACTGAGGGAGGAAGGATAAGTTAGTTTGACTCCTTTTTCTTTTTTTTAGACTTACGTAAACAAAATTGGTACGAAATTCCGGTAACACAACTTTAAGCATTAGGTCAGGATCGCACCGAAATACTATTTTAAAGATCTGTTCATGTTGTCCTTCAGCAGCATAATCAAAAACATGCAAACTGTTCCAATAAGGCCTTAAATTGCTGTCTTAAAAAGTAAAATTTAAAATCCAAGCTTCCGCCGATCCACGGCATCGTGAGGGATGATGATGCCGTGCACTATTTCAAAGATTTACGCAAGTTATTGCGCCTGTCAGTCAGTATAAGTGATCTCGAGAAATGAATGAAGTTAAAATTTAGATTCCATGTTGCTGTGCTTCTGTTCAGTTGTTGATCAGAGACGTCGTCAAAATGCCATAAGAAAAAAAAGTGACACAGGAGGCCACTGTTCTTCTTGTCTTCTCTGAGCTATTACTTGACAAACGTATGGTAACGTTGAATCTATTTGTTTTATATGATAAAGAAGCAATAAAATGTTCATGGTGACATCATCTATGCGTCTGTCCCCCAACAGATCGTAAGAACCAATCCCGTGTTATTCAGGTTATTATATGAACTGTTTAAGGGTTGATACAAACGCATTTAGAGTCATGAAATAATAGTCACAACGCGCACTAAATAAACTCAAAGCCAAAGTTACCAAATTCTAGAATAAATATTGGAAAAGTAAAACAAACTAAGGATTAAAGGAAACTATATAAAGATATTGACGGCAGCGTTAACTGAATTTTCAATTTTACTTCAAATAATTCAGTTTTAATAATTTCCATTAAACTTCACAGCTAGCTCATACTTGGCATTGAGAACCACAACAGAGAAGTTTGTAATTGAGCATCGAAAGTGATCCTCGACTGCTTTGGTT